TCTTTCTTTCTTTCTTTCTTTCTTTCTTTCTTTCTTTCTTTCTTTCTTTCTTTCTTTCTTTCTTTCTTTCTTTCTTTCTTTCTTTCTTTCCTTTGAGTCAGTGTTGACTCCTGCCAACTGTCTGGAAAAGTCCCTGCTGTTTTCTTATCCATTCTTAAATGATAATACAATATGGATTTTGATCCTTTAGCTTAATGTTGGACATTGTGGAAGGAAAGTGAACTGGAGAGGGAAGGGGTGTGCATGAGGATTGTTAACAGCAATAACACTGAAGATTGGAGGGCAGTTTTCTACAGGGAGAAATGCATTAGAAGTATAATTTGGAATTTTCTGCCCAGGGCATATGTATGTGAGAGAGAAAGAGAGGGAGTCAGAGGGAGACAGAGAAAAAGACCCAGGTTTGAGAAGGTTGCTATAGAAATTCACTCCATATACACATACTGTATATTGATGCAACTGCTGAATAAGAGAGCCTGCCTGTTATTGAGAAGCAACAAGAGAATAGGAATTCCTCATAGATTGTCTGGATCACCCTTAGTCCTAGTTTCCATGCACTTAAGATCAAGGACGTTTGCTTGCTCAGCCCATGGCCCAGGTGGCAAAGATCTTTCTATATTGTAACCAGAGTTGTTCTCTTTCTCATTTGTAGCTCTATGAAGGTTTCCCATATATCATGAAGCATCTGCCAGGCCCTCACCAGGCTGCCCTATCTGCTGTAGAGATGATGATTTTGTTTGTGAAGAAGGAGATCAAACAGCATAAGGAGAATCAAAACCTACACGAACCAGAGGATTTCATTGATTTCTATCTATTTCAAATGGAGAAAGTAAGCATTTGCTTTCCCTGGGAATATTGCTTGAAGGCGAATCAATGCATAACTGTTATTGAGCAGTTCTATAGAATCATTGATAACATTCTCCAAGTGGCTTATAATATTTGAAATGATGAGAATGGTATATAGCGTTCATCTTCCCTTAAGCTGTCAGAGAAAGAGATATTCAGATTTTATACAATGTCATGCCCCCATTTAGGTGGACAGTAAACCATTCTGATAGATTCTATATACTCCTTCCTGCAATGCCACTGAGCATCAGGACCTGGATAGCTACTAAAGCAAATTATCCTGGTGGAATTCTTTTTTATTTGTGATGTAATGATTAGGCTGCTACTCCAATACAAGTTTAAGCTAGGTTTCTGTCTTTCACCCTCCTAGATTCCACTTTCCACATGGAACGTTGAGAGAGCTAGAAGCATTTTTTTCTTCTAATTATCACACTGCCAAAGCCATTTTGCACAGCGTTGTCAGTTCACCAGGTTGGGGAGAGCTCAGCGATAGTATCCCAATTGCTCCTAATATTTTTTCTCCTGAAATCCCCAGTATAGAACTTGCCCCAGTTTTATGTTCACCCTCCCCAATCTCATGCCACCCTGATGGTTTGGGCTACAGTCCCCTTCTCCCCAGAGAAGATGGCCCATGGAATAGAACGGGAAGACATTAGGTTGGGAAATATTGGTAATAATAGGAAAATGCCATTTCACCTTTCTTACTGTTAATCCTAGAGCAAGAATGATCCAAATTCTACCTATGATGAAGACAACTTGGCCCAGTGCACTTTTGACTTCTTTGTTGCTGGGACAGAAACAACCTTAACTTATCTCCAATGGGCATTGCTGCTCATGGCGACTCATCTGGATATCCAAGGTGGGACAAACTGATGCACTAGTGACAAAAAGCTGGGTTTATTAGTAGTAGAATGTAATGCAGCACCATTCTTTCTCAGAGGATTCGTATGTAGGCAAACCTCCAACTATTCTTCTTACAGAAATGCCTACAACAGCAGATCTTACCTACCAGCACGCGACACAGTCCACCAATAAACTGCATAGCAGGATGGGCAATAACAGAACATAGCAGCAAGCCTAACAACAGCTGGGAAAACTGAGGCTTGGATAGTTGCCCTTCCCTCTCCCTAATCAGTAAGACGATGATGGAATTTGATGAGAGATTCATCTGCCAGATCCATTCCCAGGGAGGACCTACTGAAAGACAGACCACAGAAAGAGAACAACGGAACATCAGTGGTTCTCACCTACAGCTCATGACTCAAACCACTCAAACACATTATAAATAAGCTACAGCCCATAGGAAATAGGCAGACCCAATAATATTCATGTAGAAGGAAAGCTATTAAGCATAAGACACATGGCATGTGCATATGACATATGACAAGCTTTACATAGATTTAGACTTGCATTTTAGGGATAAAGACATAAGATTTACAAATAAGTTCTTAATTAGAAATAAATATAGGTCTGATAAAATCAGCATAAATATACAATTCTATTTGTCAAGGCAAAACTAGTCTTTGTGTGATAAAATTGTCCCTTATTCCAGAGGGAGATCAAATGAAACATAGCCAGAGTGCAAGATTTGTTGTGTCTCTGAGTCTGGGCTCAGTCCAGTTGTTGGATCCTTGATAAAAGGGTTTTACACTCCAGGTCAATTACTGTTCTCATTGCCTGTTGTTTTTAATACAATCATATGAAGTTTTTCCATATGTGGGAGGATACCTCTCAATTTTCATCTTATTCCTTTTCAGAAATAAATATCAGGTCTAAAATGAACCTCCTGTTTTCACTCTTTTTCTCAGATAAAGTATACAAGGAAATGGAAAACGTTTTGGGTTCATCACACTCAATCCGTTATGAAGATTGGAGGAAACTGCCATACACCAATGCTGTGATTCATGAGATCATGCGAAACAAGTATTCCTTGTTATTTGGACTTCCAAGACAATGTGTGCAGGACATCTATTTGAATGGGTTTCTAATCCCCAAGGTATAGATTTTGGATTCTTTTGAATTTCTGGAGCTTCAGTTTAAGGGCTCTGGTCTTATGAAGGAACTCTTTGGCAGAGCTCCTATTAGCACAGTGTGTGAGCTCTGAAAATGTGCAATTAAAAACCTGAATTTGCATTTTACAAAGGCTAGGCAATTTGAAGTATCCCATTTTCAGGTAGAGCAGTGGCTGCAGTCCACAGAACAAGTTTAACCAGTCAGGTAAAAAACTAGCAGATGGATCTGTATAGCATGATACACTTGCTTAGATATTTCGTGGTGGAATCTGTTGCGAGAAGTGAGTTCATTAGGTTACCCTATAAATGAAGGTAGTGGCCAGTGTGGGAACTGAATGAAGCAAGTTATGTGAAAACATGAAAACATGTAAAATTCATTTTCCTCTCCAGGTTTAGCAAGTGTAATCCACCACAAAATTGTTGCAAGGGATCCTTGTATGTGTATGTATGAGTGTTCTGGAGAGTGGGAATCCTTGCCTCTCTTCCTTTCCCTGCCCAAGGGCAAGTCCTTCTAGTCAGAGAATCTCCGGGGGGGGGGGGGGAGGATCATTCAAAGCCTCTGGAATATCTAGATCAGTGTTTCTCAAACTTGGCAGCTTGAAGATGCATGGACTTCAACTCCCAGAACTCCCCAGCCAGCCATGCTTAACAGGGCTTAAGGTAGAATTCCAAAAGAGTCTTCTGTAGCTGGGAAAAAGAACATAAAATGGCAAAGATGAAATCCCTAATCTTAAATGTCACAAAAAATCATATCAGAGAAAGAAAAATAATAAATTTGGGGTTAAAGCGGATATTAAAAATACAGAGATGCAGTAAAATTTCAGCTTAATAAATCATTCAAGTTTGATTAAATACAAATTAATCTCTTTTGTGTAATTACCTAATAATGTAAATTGTTGATACTGAATTTGGATTTATTTATACTTATTTTATTTTTTATTTATATTTCAAATTTGGTCACCACCCATCTCACGAGGAAGTGACTCTGGGTGGTTTACAGTAAAAACAACAAATAAATATAAATTAAAATACAATAAAAACCAAATACATACATAAATAG